ATGTAGTCTTCCACCTGAGACGGGGTTAGGTGGGACTTTTTGTAACTGATTGTTAGGTCCAGGGACTCGAGAGTGGTGAGGACGAATCTGGTGTCTCTTGAGTGCTCTCTTTCTCGTGGGGGAGACAATCAGCCAATCGTCTATGTAGGGATACCTCTGAATTCCGTGTAGATGTACATGAGCTGCCACAGGTGCCATGCACTTGGTGAATGTGTGTGATGCTGTTGAAAGTCCAAAAGGCAGAGCAACACATTGATAAATGATGTTTTGAGAAATTAGCCTGAGGTATTTCCTGTGGTCTGGATGAATGGTGATGTGAAAATATGTATCCTTCAGATCTACCACAACAAACCAGTCTCTTTCCTTTAATAGGTGGATGATGGATTCCAGAGTGACCATCCGGAAGCGACGTGGACGAAGGCAGGTGTTTAAATCCCTCAGGTCCAGGATGGGTCTTAGCCCCCGTCCTTTTTAGGTACTGCAAAGTACCGGGAATAAAACCCTTTTACCAAGTCTCGAATGGGTACTCTTTGAATGGCTTATTTTTGGAGCAAAGTGAGAATCTCTTCTTCTAGAACAGGACCAAAGGAGGTAAGCTTGACCTGTCCTAGAGAAGGTAATTCTGTAAATTCCAGACGGTAACCGGATTGTATAATGTTTAAGACCCAAGAGTCTTTTGTGATAGCTGACCAGTTCTGTAGGAAGGGTGAAAGACAAGTTGCATGATTCACTTGCAATGGAATGTCAGTTAAGTCAAAGGTATTGCTTTGACTTTTTCCCTGTTGGTTTTTATGATTGTCTGCATTGACTAGCTTGTCTGAAAACAGAGGTAGACAAGGAAGCCTGGGATAACCTGGTCTGACTCCGGTTCTTAAAAGGACGGAAAGGTTGAGACGTTGACTGTTGGTAGGTTTGTTGAGGATATTTAGTATGCCACTGGAATTTGGAGTATCTGTGTTGCTGTATGGTTTAAGACTTAGCTGTCTTCTTGCTTTTGTGCACATTTTCCAAGTTGTTGTCTGTTTTTTCATTAAATAGGCCTGATGCATCAAAGGATAAATTCTCAACCCTTGTCTTAATGTCCTCCATTATGTTAAAAGACCGAAGCCAGGCATGCCTACACAATGTGATGGTGAAAGTCAGGGTTTTAGTTGCAGCATCTGCTACGTGGCGGGAAGCAAGCCTCTAGTGCTTAGATAGAGTCATGTCTTCTGCGTGAGCGTTGAGGCAGAACTGCCTGATTTCTTCAGGAGCAACTTCTAGAGCAGGCAAGACTCAAGCCCATAGTTGCTTTAGGGGAGGGGAACGTTCTTGGTTGGTGTCCCCAAAAATTAAATCTTCAGTAGGAGCAGGTGTCTGTTCCATATTCATTTTTAAAGTTTTCACCATGTGAGACACCATTTGGACGTACGAGGAAAAATCCTCAGAGGGGGAGGAAGGATGGTTATCAGCTGCATCTGATTCCAATGGATCAGTTCCCCCTGGAATTTCCTCAGAAGCTTGAGACAGGGCATCATCCTCTTGTTCAGAGAGGCATGAAAAAGGTGGCTGGTCTTGTTCAGAAATTGCTGGGCAAGCTGACTTCTTTGCACTGTGCCTAGCCGTTTCTGTGAGATGAGGCTGTTGACCAGCAAGTAGTGATCCCTTCAGTGTCGACTATTCCTTCTCTTGATCGCCGGGAACAGTTGTCTTATGAGAGTGTTTGGCAGATTTACAAGCTTCGACGTCGAAGTGTTTACGGTGTCGATGTTTCCAAGGGAGGGGAACAGGAAGGAGAACATGAAGAAGAGTATGTGTAACAGGCCCTCTTCTTTTTCCTCTTGTAGTCGCTCAACGTCAAAGAGGAGGTAGATTCCGACCTGGCTCGTCGACGTCGACGCTTAGATCTCTTGGGGGATACCTCATACTCTGAATCTGAATCAGAGTAATCCCGAAGACATTGATGCCGCTTCTTTTTCTCGATCTTGTAAATGGAGTCATCCTCAGAATGCCTATGACGGCGTCAAACCTCCTTTGGTAAGAACACCAACTTCTGTCGAGAGTCTCGGCGTTGATAGGAAGTTAGGTGCTTTTTCTTGGCCGATCTCTTTCTAGGTGGAGAATCAGTTTGCAAGGAAATCGACTCTGACAAAGGGGTTGATGACGCACGCCCGGTGGACACAGGGCTAAGAGTGGCAACCGCCGAACTAGTAATAGAATGGACTAGCTGGCTTGCAGTAGGTGACTGACCACGTCGATCAGCAAAGCATCTTGTTGACGAAGTGGTGATGAAGCTGCCGCCTCTGAGAGGGATTCTCGGTCCCGAGAAGAGTCCTCTAGAATAGGAGAAGGAACCGATGCCAAGACTGGGGATATCTGCAAAGACTGTTCCTTTGGTTTCTCTTTTAAATTTATTCGATGCATTCTTTTGTTTCAGGTCGTTGGTAGAACTGGAAAAAGTGGAGGTCTGTGGCTTTTTAGGACCAGGTTTCTTCTTAAGTTGCTCAATTGTTTTAGTAGTAGCTTTAGAGGTCAAAGGAGGTGGTGGAGAAGCAATGCGCACCTCAGACCTAGCTGATGGGGTTGGGGTAAACTCCATCTCAGAAGGCTGAGAGGCTGAGAAGGTTTTGTTCCACAGAAAATACTTTAGCCTTTGCTGATGAGTCCTGAGAGCTGACTTTGTAAAGCTTTTACAGTGCTTACACAGGTGAGGCTGATGACTTTCTCCAAGGCAAAAAACACATAAATTGTGTCCGTCTTGAAAAGGCAATTTACGAGAACAGGAGGAACACCGGCTGAATGGCCCCGAGTATGACATAAAGTGAACGCGAAGTCTATAATTAAGTAAATAGGGGAAGTGTGGCCGGCGCGTGCCCCCGGAGCGGTGGATTAAAGCGCGGGAAATCCTAATCAACAGTCCTAATCAACAAGTACTTGCAATCCAGTAGAGTAGTCAAACAGTCCAAAGTCAGGGGCACCAGATCAATTGAAATTCTCAGGAAAAAATGCGTCAAGCCAAAAAAATCCGTAAAAAGGTAGAAAGGCAGTAGCTCTAATGAGAGGTCCCAACTCCAAGGCGGAAAAATTGGAACTGGGGGTTGAGGCAGGCGGAGCTTGCGCTATAGGGCCAATTTGAACTTTGCTACTTTTCTCTTAAGCTCTGGAAGATTCCGAGAGCACCAGCACAGGCACTGTTTTAACCCACTTGTGTGCATTCACAGAGGCCACGAAGAAACCTTTGTTATTCCCAGAGGAGTCTTCAGTAGATTATTTTTTATATATATTTATCAGACAGAGAAAACATACTTGCTTCATCCTGATCTATTAACATTGGTGATAAATCTGTTGGTAAAAGGGCTTCTGTTTTGGGGAGGCCCATGGTGGTTCGTGGACTAGCTGGACTTCTTCAGCGAGCCTATAACTGACTGGCATAAAGATGCTTTTGCCTTTAAGCTCCACACAGACTCTTATCTTGGCAAACTGGCATAGGGAGAAGGAAGTGTTTGGATGACTATGAACTCTGACAACTTCTTCTAAAGTTATTTGAATGTTCCCATTTCCACCACCATTCCCATTAAGCATCTAGCTCTAGGAGATTTTCAATGATACAGTTCACCACCACCTTCTTTAACGTTATCAGACAAGATCTTCATCCGAAAGAGGCTGAGTCACAACAGAAGAGCAACTAGGCAGGGGGGGAAATGTGGGAAATGCTATGGGGTTGGGGTGGGCTGATTCACATGTTTTGTCATTGATCACATGATGCAAAGGGAAATGCAAATCAGCTCAGAGTTGCTCTCTCCCCCAAATCCATAATTTCCCTCTCTGCTGATAGGGCTTCTACTTTTTTAAGCAACCGATTAATTCACATTGACTCGGATATTTGATTGCTTGAACCAATGCAGAATAGCTTTTGTGCCAGTACAGAGTCAGGAACAGCAAGCAAAGCCTTACGGCAAGCTTTTCCCTTTTTTAACAGCTAAGGATGAAGCAAAGCCTCTTTTGAAAAGTCTTGCAAAGACTTTCCTTTTTTTCTGCTAAGGGCAAACAAAGCCGTTTTAATATGTAGCTCAGAATTAGGTTGCAAAGACTTTTTTTAAAAGCTTGGCGCCAGGGCTGTTGCACTTGACTAGAGTATCTAAACAACCATCCAAAAAGGTAATCAAAGGAGGAAAAGATTGGAGAAGATTCTTTTTTTTTAAACAGCTTGTTAAGGTAGTTTCTTTGAACCATGCCTCCTACAGGAAATCCCATTGCGTCCATTGATTGGCTTGCAAATTCTTTTCTCAATTTTTGTTTTTCAGAAGAAGAGAAAAAGAGGCAGAAAGGAAAGAAAACCCTTGGGGTGTAGGGGAAGGCTGAGAAGAACAGAAGAAGAAGTGAACAGAAACAAGGAAGAAAGGGTAAAAATGTCCATGTCTATGTGAGAGAAGTCAGAAAATATGGAGAAGTAAGAAAAGGCAAATATGCCAGAAAGATGAAAGCAAAACTACTGATTTCTAGAGTTCTCCAGTTTAGGAGATGGTAGAAAGAGAAGTTTCCAGAGTGGGATAAGGAAAGAAACTGAAGGTGAACTGAGAGCAACCAATTTTCAAAAACATTGGTCACACAATCTCCTTCCTTCTGGGCAGATGCAAACCCCCTTTCCATTTGCCTCACCCACAGAATGACCTGGTGGACTGTGCTCATCTTAGTTAAAGCTGCTATTTTATTTTTCTACTTCTGATACCAAAATGTCAACACAAGCTATCTCAGTTATTCGTTCCCCTCTTGTGTCACAGAACTATTGAGAATATGGTGCTCTGTTTCATGGGGGGGCATTTTCCACCCAAATATATATATATATTGAACAAACCCAGTACAAAACTGAGCAAATCCACAGGACCGCTGCTGCTCTCACTTTTCCTTTTTTTGTTCAATATAAATGATGGACATTTTAAGAAGAACCATTTATTTGAGGGAATGAAGCTTGTAGGACAGACTTAGGATGCTGCGAGTGTTCAAACAATCTAGGGTCATACCATGATGTAGAAGCTCTCTGTTTCCTGCTGATTGGCCCTGCGCTTTGCCAAGGCTTGTTTCCCTCCTGCATCAGAGCCTGTAGACTTGAGAGATTCTGTAGACTGACAACCCTGAAAGGCATCAAGCGCTTCCGGCTCCTCGACTGCCAACAGATCCAGCAGGCTTTGCAGGGTTGCCTTCAGAGTCTTGTTTACCTGCAGAAAGAAACAGAAAACTACATTCTCAGAGAATTCTGCAAGAAAAATACATAAATTCTCATGGCTATTTATAAAAAGTCCCAGTTGAAAACAATGAGGTGACCCGTTGTTTCCTTTGTAATGCTAACACAGAGGTTAGGGAACCCACTTGAAGTGGTATGAGCCAGATAAAAGTTTACCACCCCAACAAGAACTAGGCCTAGTTATTGCACAACATTATACAACATTAAACACTGCTCTCACCAGCAGTATCCCTGGCTACCATTTGACTATTTTCAGATTCAAAGATGTTGGGGGGCAAAGGGTAGGAGCTTTGTAAAAACTCTGCCATCACTCACCTCATCGGTCTCCAGAGTGATGGCATTGAGGCGAGACTGGATGTGCTGGAACCGAGACACTAGTTCGTTTCTCAAGGGGCCTTCAGCCCGGACTTCAGATACCTGAAAATGGAATGGAAACAGAAAGGAAGGAGTGAGGGCTGGACTGAACAGAAAGCCGAGCACTTCCACAGGAACCCAGGAATAAATAGTCCCTCACCTCATCACCCTCATGAGGCTGGTAGTCGAAGCACACAGGAGGACAGTAAGCGGCAGGGTTGGCCTCCATCAACCTGGACTTATCTCCCAGTGGGTCCAGGGCATCAACTGCTCCTTCAATAGTGCACAGACCCTGTTGCCAAGATGCTTGGGCCCGGGATTCTGCTGCTAGGTAAGTTCTCAGCACCTTGCCCAGTGAAAGGTGGAAGCCGAGGTCGAAACACTGGGTACCATCAAAAACAAAAACAGAAAAACAAGTTCAGTTCATGCTCAGTTCATGTGCTACTCACTAGGTTGGCCAGCTCCATTTCTAACAGAGACTTCCGTACCCTTCATAGCTGTCTCATTGCAATAGGATGAAATATCATGTACAACAAAAAATACCTTCCCTATCATTTTAGCTAAATGATGAAGGGAAGCTACACCACTGTATCTCTACACAACTATTTAAAGTGCCTAAGGTCATTGTCCAAAACTGAATTAAAATAGAGTGGTGCCCCGCATAGCGACGTTAATCCGTTCCGGATTAATTGTCGCTATGCAGAAACATCGCTAAACGGATTGAAAAAACCCATAGGAACACATTAAACTTGGTTTAATGCGTTCCTATGGGGCCCAAACTCACCATTCAGCAAAGTTCCTCCATAGCGCCGCCATTTTCGCACCCTCGGTAAGCGAAGGCAGGGCGCAAAAACAGTTGCGGTGGCCATTTTGCGCGCCCGGCGGCCATTTGGGAACCACCGATCAGCTGTTTAAAAAACCATCGCATTGCGAACATCAGTAAGCAAAACGCTTACCGATCATCGCAATGTGAGTTTTTGCCTATGTAAACATCGCAATGCGATCGCTTTTGCAATCACAAAAGCGACATCGCTATGCGGATTCGTCGTTAAAAGGTGCGCTCGTTAAGCGAGGCACCACTGTACTACAAAATTGACATACAATGCAAATTAAGCCATGGAAGTTTCAGCATGTTGACAACAAAAACAAGAAAACTGTGGATTTGGAATATTTGGGTGTCTAGTTTCTCCCCACACACATGGTAAGAAATCTTAGAACACTGGAGAATACTAACAGGGTGGGATAAAGATTGTAGGAGATAAAAGAAGACTTAACAGAATGCAGGGCCCTATTTTCAAACTGTTAGAAAAAACTACCAGTTTCCACAAGATTTCTCCCGTTTTCTGCACCCATGAGAATTAAACAGTGGTGTGTTTAAATGAAACAAAAAAATTCCTATCTTGGTAGTAGCATTCCACCTACTATCTTTCTCAATCCCTTGCCCATGCATTAAAAATGGCATACTGAAGGAGCCAACTCCAGTTTTTAAGGCTGACGTTCACAATAGTTGGACCACCAGACATTTTGGACCTCAGTTTCTAGATGTGCTAGCCAGCATGACAATGGACTGGGGTTAATTCTGGAAGCTGAAATTTAAAACATCTGTAAGACAAAAAGCTAAGAACCAGCACTGGAATATCAACTCTGCCAGTTCAGATTAGTTTAAAAGTGTTCTCCTCTTTTCTCTCTGTCTCCAGGAACTCCTGACAATTGTACTCCTACGAAAGAGGCTAAGAAGCCTTAAGTATTCATCCTCATCAAAGGACAGTTTCTAGGGTTGTAAGAGAAGCTGGGACTTTAAAATGAAACTAGTATTCATCTGTTGTGTAGACATACGCATGGACACACCATTAGAAATAGGTAATTGTCACAAGGGTAACTGTCAAATATGCAACACTAGTTCATGTACCATTTGTACACATCTTGCTCACACAGAGTAGGCAGAATACAAACTCACATCTAGCAGGTCGGCAACATCACGCACGTAATAGTTGCTGATGGCAGCATTGGCAGCATGCAGGCTCAGCAGATAGTCATTCCGGGCCTTGGCACATTTCAGCTTGCTCTCCACAAATTTGGACTGCCTCTGCAAGGGGTAAGGGGATCACTAAGGTCAGTGAAACTTGGAGGGGGTGTTACTACAATACCAAGAATCCCTTAGCAGTGTTCTAGCAATTACAATATTTTCTGAGCTCCAGGCTTAAGCTGCCAGGGATCTTTTTCTCCTAAACTTCCCCCAGTTAAAATCTCTTGTGTTGAAAAGACACTGCTTCTGACACACATTAGGAAAGGGATTGAAGGGGATCACTAAGGTCAGTGAAACTTGGAGGGGGTGTTACTACAATACCAAGAATCCCTTAGCAGTGTTCTAGCAATTACAATATTTTCTGAGCTCCAGGCTTAAGCTGCCAGGGATCTTTTTCTCCTAAACTTCCCCCAGTTAAAATCTCTTGTGTTGAAAAGACACTGCTTCTGACACACAATAGGAAAGGGATTTTCTGATTTCTTGGACTACAAATCCCACAGTTCTCCATTCTGGGAGTTCTACTTGACAGGCATACACATTATAGGCACCTTAATGTGGCTCACTTTTGAGAAAGACCTCAAATGGAAGGCTTTAAGGCTTAGCTAGGCCTAGCCCTGCCTAGTTTCCTGTTCAGAAAGGAAGTTCTCCGCTAGCACTGGGGCAGGAACAGGAAGCACAGGTGGAGCTAGGCTGAGCTAATGGTCAGTGCCTTCCAGCTAAGGCCTTTCTCATAGGTGAGACGCATTTCAGTGTTTATAAAGTGTATCTCTAGCAGGTAGAACTCTCCAAATGGAGAACTATGGGATTTCTAGTCCAAGAAATTAAAAAATCCCAGCCCTATCCAATAGTAGCAATGTCACTCCAAGGGCTACCCACATGTGACCAACTGTTAAACTAGGCAGAAAACAGTATGCCCCCTTTTTGCATATTTGCTTATGTGTGTCATAGCTAATCATATTCTCTTTCCAATTAACCCTTGTAGTAATATTCTCTGTCTAATATACTGTTATCTTATACTCATCCTCAGTAGCCATTTGGTAGCCACAACAGGCAAAAAAACCCCACCAACAAACAAGAAATAAATCCCCTCCTACTAAGATAAACCCTCCCCCCTTTGGAGTCAGAGACTCCAGCTTCGTTTGACTCTCGGTTCTCTCCAGCTGGGTTCCCAGTGTGAACTGAATACATAAATAATCAAATTCACCCGAAACTCCTGTCTTATGACATACTGTTAGGGGCCACTTTTAATTGGCATGGTTGAGGGCCACATGCTGATTTGCTCATTTTAAAGCTATTTTGGACCACTTGGGGGCATCATAATATAGAATGAAAAACAAAGCATTAAAAAGTCTTTCTTCTATGAATGACTAGGAAAGAAAGAAAGAAAGAAAGAAAGAAAGAAAGAAAGAAAGAAAGAAAGAAAGAAAGAAAGAAAGAAAGAAAGAAAGAAAGAAAGAAAGAAAGAAAGAAAGAGGTTATTCTCTAGTTCAGTGCTTCTTAGCCAGGGATGCATTTTTGAAGAGGAAGGAAGGAAGGAAGGAAGAGGTTATCCTCTAGTTCAGTGCTTCTTAGCCAGCGATGCATTTTTGGAGCATCAAATACCAATGGATATAATAGACTCAGTTTGCACTGATGGCGCCAAATACCAATGGATGTAATAGGCTCAATTTGCACTGACGGCGCTCCTGTGGTGTTAGGCAAAAATTCCAGATGTTTTGCATATATGAAGGAAGAAGTACCACAAGTTATAATAACATATCACATGTTGCACCACCATGCATTCTCATTGAAAACTTTGCCAGAAAATTGAAAACACTTAGTTACTGCAGTAAATGTAGTAAATTATATCTAAGGACGGGGCTTAATCATCATCTCTTTCATGCTTTTTTAGAAAAAATCTGTGCTGACCATCCTGTGCTTCTTTATCACACTGGTATAAGGTGGTTCTCCAAGGGACGTATATTAATCAGGGTTTTTGTAATGCTCAAGGAAAATATTCAGCTTCTTACTAATCAAAACTGTAATTTAGTTACATATTTTGAAATAAGAGAGGCAATACTCAGACTGACCTACTTAGCAGATACTGTATATTCACTTACCTGAATGAATTAAATACAATATATCAATGTAAGGACATGGTAAGAACTGAAACATTTACAGTATCTGCTTTTATTGAAAAACTAAAAATTTAGATAGATCGAGTTGAAAATTGTAATTTTGCAAACTTTCCCTTGCTTGATGAAATTGTTCTGGAAAATGAGAAAATCACAATTTTCCCTGAACTTGTAAAACATCTGCAACAACTGAGTGCAGCTTTTCATGGATATTTTTCCACAGGAAATATTGGCAAAGGGCAGAGATGGATACTGGATCAATTTCTTTTTTTACTTTAATTTTATTAACAACGGTATTTTATAAATGATGATCTTATTGAAATACATGCCAATGCATGTATTCAAATGGAATTTGAAAAACTTGACTTAGAGCAATTATGGTGTGCTCAGTTAGAACCATTTCCACAACTGGTGAAGGCAGCATTGCAGACACTTCTACCATTTGCTCTCACCTGATCTGTGTGAAATGGGATTTTATTTACTTTTGCTTATAAAAACAAAAACCAGAAATCATTTAAATGCAAGTGATGACATACGTGCAGCTCTTTCAAAAAAGGAACAGCATTTCCAAAATATTGTTATGCAAAAACAACAAATTAGCCACTAAAAATTAAGACATTTTAATTTTATGTCAATACATACTGTATATGTTTGTCTGTTTTTTTAGTAAATAAATTGTTTTACAATAAATGTAATTTTCTAACAATTAAATTGGAACACATTTTTTGGGGGGGGGATGTATTTTGGGATTCAATAGGGTACTGACCTCTAAAAAGGTTAAGAACCTCTGCTCCAGTTCTTTACCTGTGTCTATTCTCAGATTATGAATATATTCATGTAAATATGTGCAAAGCCTTAAATGGCTACTGCCACATAATTTGAAGAATTAGCTATGCCCATATGATTCAGGCCATACAGGAAGATCAATGATGGATCATATTAATTAGCCTACTTTTAAAACCAGTAATGTGACAAGCAGCAAGAACAGAACCCTCTCAGTAGTGGCTCCTAATTTATTTAATTCTTTCCAGTGGGCTGTATAACGGGTACCAAACCATCTTTATCAAAGCTTTGAAAACACACTTATACTGGAAGTTTCTTCTAATGAAAGTCCTTTATTGGCTATAGTGCAATATTATTGCTATGGCTGTGGCAATTTGTTCTAAAGTACTGGCAAAATATATTTTAATATTTCAAAAAACTTCATCTGGCTTCCTGTAACTTGAACCCATTGTTGCGTGTCCTGCACTCTGGGATGATCGAGAACAGATCTTTCCCCTCCTCTGTATGACTGTATTTCAAGTTTTAGAAAGGTGCTATCTATATCACCCCTCAGCCTTCTTTTCTCAAGGCTAAACATGCTTAATTCTTTCAGCTTTTCATCTTAAGGCTTGGTTCCCAGCCCCCTGACCATCCTCGTTGCCCTCCTCTGAACGTGTTGCGGTTTATTAGCATCCTTCTTGAAGTGTGGTGTCCAGAACTGGACACAGTACTCAAGGCGAGGACTAACCAGTGCTGAATAGATCTGGTCCAGGACAGCAACTTCTAAAATATTTAAACAGAATAAATAAATATTTTAGGCCACCTTTTGATCGAAGCTGGCATATAAGGCTCAATACATCATCAAAATCAGAAGGTATCAAAATATGAGAGAGCAATAAACCAAGGGCCCCAGTTCCAACATAACTAAATAAACTGTAGTTTGTTCCCTGATATATTCAGCTTGGAACTTGGAGAAGGTACTACCATTTCCAGAATCCCTCAGCCTGCATGACTACTAGACATGATAGCTACTGGATTCTGGGAATTGTATTCCCCCCTCCCCCGCTTCCTAGAAAGGGCAGGAAGCTGCCAGGAAGAGCCAAATGAGAGAGGCTAAGTGACTTAGGCCCGCTTTCTTGCTCATTGTAATTCCTAAGAATTCTCAGGAACTCTGACTTAACTATGACATGTGAATCAGGTCTTCAAGCCAGAAATTGCAGTCCGAGGAGGAAACATAAATTAAAAGGAAGACGAGAACCCCAAATACATGCAGTGATCAGGAAGCTATGAGATTATCTCAAAGCACGACCTGTCAGTGAGGAGTTTAAGAAGCAACTACCATGCTATCCGATGAGCAAAATGACCACGAATGACAGTAATTTCTAACATTTTAATTTGTTTTTCATTTTTACTTATATTTCATAATTTTAAAATGTGTAATGCTCTGATACAAATAAAACTTAAGCGTTCCTCGTATATTTTAATCATGAAAGTGATTAGCACAGTCAGCTGACTTCTAGGAAAACGCATTCTTTTGAATCACAAGGAAGAGAAAAATCTTCATGGTTGAATCCTACAAAAGGAGAGGGGAAATGTGGCCCTCCGGATGTTAACAGGATTGCAATTCCTGGCATATGCCATTTTATAATGCTGCTAAAGCTGATGCAAACTGCAGCCCAACAACATTCTAGATCAAGGGTCCCCAACCTTCTGGGACATGGCGGGCACATTAAAGTGTGCAATGCCTAAAGAGGGCCACATCTTAAATCAGAATGTAACAAAATTATTAACCTACTGGTTTAGATCAAAAGTAAATATTCAGACATCAATGAAGAATGTTAACTTGAATGCGATCCATTTTGGAAAAATATTTTACTGTGGAAACCTTTTATCTAGTTACACATGCTTACCTTGTGAGTGTGATTTGTGTGGCTATTTTCTGTTAACCAAGACATTAACGACCAAGTCAAAGTTTGTGGCAGACACCCTTAAAATGTCATGTTCATCTGTCAGTCTTAATCAACACTTGGATTTCACAATTTTCATCTTGGAAAAAATCTGTGGTGCTAAAGACTGCAACAAATTTCTTCCAGTTCAAAAATATATCAGGTAGACCAGAATAGAAATCTAACAGACTATCTTCTTTGTAAAATGTCTCTGGGATGATCACTGGCTCACATATCA